GATGAAAATTCAATACGAAGCGACACGCAACAAAGAAAAATTTCAACACGGGATAAATTAATAATTTTTTCGTACATAATTGGTTATCCGAAAAATAAGTTATCCAAACAACCCCAGTCCCCAATTGATTTGGATAAACGATGCTCTACTGTATTCACAAAATATTTTTCTATAATATGATTAACTTGTCATGTATTTATGTAATTTTAAGCAAGCATGAAAATACAAACTTAAATCAAGTAAATAAATTTGATGTTTAATTTTGAATTTCTTTAAATATTCAATTTTTGTTTAGAGTTTTGATTTATTTTTGAATTTTTTCTATATTCTTGAATTATAATTTATTCTTTTGTAAATAAATATCAATAGAAAATATTTTGATTTTAATTAACTCTTTATTTTAAATTTGTAATGTCTAAAAATGAATTACAGTAATACCTCGACTTACGCGAACCCAGAGTTACGCGATTTTCAAATCTCGTAGATTCGTCTTTTGTTTGAGAGCCACGCAACCCTTGATTACTCCCCCCCACACTATTGTTCAGCTTATATGTTTGGATGTGTCACGCGGAATCGACACATAGCTACAATTTATTTTGTGTTATTTATTTCTGTGTTTGTTATATCTATGGAAACTCGAGAGACTCTATGTGGTGATTTCTTGTAACCGTGAACGAATCGAAAGACGAGATAAGATTAACGAGAACATTTATTAGCTTACATACATCCGACTTGGATTTTACACAAATTGCGAAATTATACCCCGACTTACATGAATTTGACTTATGCGGTTATCGCTCAGTCCCACCTATCGCATAAGTTCGGGGTATCACTGTACATATTTTTTAAACATCCATACATCAAAAGAAAACCCAATAATACAAAATAATTAATGTTGCCTTGCTTGTAACTAATATTCTTAAAGCATAGAAAAACATTACTTTCATTACTATAATTTTTATTTTATGAAGTTTTTTTATACTCTTCCCATCCTATGATCACCCAGAGAATTGTATATTTATTAAATTTTTATTTATTTAGTTATCATATTTACAAAAGCATTGAATATGATTGAAAAACCTAAAACTGATTATGATATGCTAATAAAAACAAAAACAAAATACCTGTTCTCTCATCTCTCCTGACACAAGAAAACTTTCATCTAATAAATCAATATTTGTGGCATGTTGAAGTTTATCACGACGATCAGTAGCTATGTTAAACTGAACCCAATCTCCAACTTGAAGGGTAAAATCACCTTTTGTGTCTTTTTCACCAAAAGAAATTTCCATTTCCCTTTAAAAACAAAATCATATTTTATAATCCAATTGATTAAATAATATATATTTGAAATTTCTATATTATTTGTAATATATATTTGTCTAACATGACAATAGCTTATCTTATTTAAGACTATATATAATAAAAATAGAAATTACTTATTGTGACATTGTCACAATACTGGGCTGAAATTTTTTACTATATTTGAATTTAAATAAATATAATTTTCAATGCTAAATCTGAAAGTTTTTTCTCAATAATGATGTTATTTTTCATGTGACTTGTCACAGAAAAAGTGAGATCATGTGAATATTGTACACCTTAGAGCATTGAATGATATATTACTGATTTCAGTTTACTGTAGAGATCAACTCTATACCAAATTTATTTCTCTATATAGTGAGGCAAAAAATTTTTAATTGAAGTTACATAATTTCTGGTCCATACTGGAAGCTCATATAAAGGTAACTAGGGCCTCCAGTCCCTAAGCTTTCCATGACTGGTCTGAATTTCATCTAACTCACTCCATTCTCAAGATTAATGAAGTACAGTTGGATGACAGTGAGAATGTATAGGTCTGCAGTTTGAAAATTGCAGCCTAATAATAATGCAATATACATCAGACATGGCCAATAAAATCAACTGCAGATATGGTGTATTAAAACACAAAGAATTTATAACTCCTATAAAATACATTTCTATATTTTTTACCATAAAATATTTTAATTATTGCTATGAGTTATTAAACACTATGCTATGGGACATGTGGTTATCTTTGTTTCTGACTGCAACACAGTGAAAAGAGTATGAAAACAAGAAATACAAGGAATGGAACATGCTCTTAGGTCATATTTAGGTAATGAGCAATAATGTACTGTCTTCAATTACTTATCTTATTCATAAAATGGATTTATCACACTAAA